AGTATCCAGGAATGCAGCCGCAGATTCAGGGGTGTCAAAAAGGCGAATTTGACCTTCGTGGAGACACCGGAGGCGCGCTGGGTAGGCAAATCCACGATATTTATTATGACGAGCCAGCCTCTCTTTGGGAATATCGTAGGAACCGGACCAAGATGCTTCTCGGGGGCTTGTCTGGAGCTGGAGCGGGAGCCAGGGCTCGGTGGGCGCGTTCAATCTCCAGCGAGGGATAGTCAGCAGGCAGGCCGACTAAAGTCGGTAAAGTTGTCTGGGGGAAGTCCACAAGAGGGGTGTTGCCCTCCGTTTTCTCTGGAAGGTTGATCATTTTCAGGTTTTTACGTCGGCTACGGTTTTCTAAATCGTCAATTTTCAGCTGCAGCTGCTCCACTGTTTTTCCATGGCAGCTATGAAGGTGCCGTGAGCACCGTGGCTGTCCTCTGTAGCGGAGACCCTCTCCTCAACCTCATCCATGCGCTTTTCCAGGTCTGTCACCTCGGTGGAGAGCTCGTTATCGGCTCTCTCTAACCGAGTGACAGCCCTGGAAAAGCGCATACTTTTATTTCGCTCAGCGCACGGTCAATTATGTCCAGGCGAGCGCCAACTGATTCATCCATGTCGTTCACCCGGGAGGCCACAGACTTTATTTCAGCTAAGATCTTCTCCGTAATTGCTTGATCAGTTAGTGTTAGCTCCGAGGTGCTTAGTCTCACTAGGGACACGTGAGGCCGTTTGTTGAACAGTTTTCTTCTTAACGGAGGAATCCGATGATGAAAAGATAGGAAAGTCCTTGTCTCGTTGCGCTCTAGGCATCTCTAAAGTACAATTCAGCTGATGATATTAAGTTTACTTAGAGAAAGTCACAGATTTATTTGAAGCCTGGAGCGGAGAAAAGTCTCAAGCGTCCATCTTGATCCGGATCACATGACCAACCCTCTATTTCTCTGTCTTTCTTTTTTAAAATTAATCTGCACATTATTATTATCATTTCTACATTTCTGTCTTCATGTGATATTTATTGACTTAAATCAATATTTTATATAATAACTATAATGGCATCAAACAGCAATCAGTGACTTCCTGTTGGGCTTTTATTTACAGAAGTCACTTCCTGTTTGACGGCTCAACAGGAAGTGTAAAACTGACACACACACACACACATACACAGAGGGATTCTGGGTGATCAATAGCTGTGATCAGAGGTAGCCCTCTGAGTTGCTTCCTGTTGCCATCGAAATAAAAGACCACTCACTTTATAAATACATGCAAACATTAATAAAATTACAGAAATATCCTGTAAATGTACATGTTTAATGTAAAATAATGTGAAAAATCTGTGATTGTAAAAAGAGAAAATCTATAATTTATTTACAGATGTATTGTTTATTTAATAGATTAAACTGATAAATTACAGTTTAATACTGTTAATACATTTCTAATATTAAATTAGTGACATTAACAGTAAATAAAGTATTATGTAATTTTAATGGATTAGTTAGTTAACTGACAGATATCTT